TTTTCTTGTATCTGCTCCAGAACGCTGCATAAGGGGATGTCTTCAAAAGTCTGTAAAAGCTGCCAGGAGGTGTGACAGGAGGGAGAGGCTTAGGACAGCAGGCCTGCCGCATCCCAACAGACCTCAACCTCTCTGCCCTTCTCCCTTAGATCTCCACTGACAGACCCTGATCCCACCCCAAGGATGCCTCTGATGTTGCTCATCTTACTGACAGACAGAACACTGCTGATCAAAGGGAGGTGAACCTCGCCTCCTTTCCCCATCCTCATCCGGGGCTTCAGAAAGTTTCTCCCTTAGCCCCTAGGTTGCTTAACTCCCAGATACCCTATTCCCAAAGCCTGCTCTGAGTCCTCCCAGGACTGGGTTTTTACTGCCCATCTAGTCCAAGTTCCTCAGAGTGGCTTAAGAGTCAGCAGGGTGTTCCTTGAAAGGACAGGGACTTGAATCTTGCAGAAAGGGAGGCCACCCCGAAGTTCATTCCTCCCAGTACACGTACCTAAGGGGCTCTAGTGGCACAGTGTGAAGCATTTGGCTGCTAACCAAAAGGTCAGGGGTTGGAACCCACCAGCTGCTCAGTGGGAGAAAGATGAAGCTGTCTGCTTCTGTAAAGATTTATAGCCTTGGACACCCTATGATGCAGTTCTACTCTCTCCTAAAAGGGTCGCTATGAGTTGGAGTCGAATCGATGGCAGTGGGTAAGGAGGCAGCTCCATCCACGTACCAAACTCCCTACGCTTCCTGGGCTTCTCTGCAGCCATGTGTTTACTCACGTACTATCTCCACCTCCACGTGGCTTACCTTCCCTCAAACTGGGCTGCTGATGCCATCCCCGCCAACGTCTCCCTCAGACACCCCTCTGACAGCCGAGGCATCCGCCCCTCTCACGCCCACCATCCTGACCCGGAAGGCTCAGGGACCCTTCCCGCAGTCCGCAGGAGCCACCACCTCACCTGTGCCAGGGCCAGACTGTAGCAGGGCCGAGCGGTCTCTCGGCCGACCCCGAGCCCGGTGATTAAGCGCTTCAGGGCATATTTCATCTCCGACCCCTGCGGAACCAAGTGCAAACCTCGTGGGACACATGACGCCAGTCCGCCTGCCTTCGCCAACCCCCCTCACCTCGGCCCGCTCTCCCCGGGGCATCCTGGCTCAGGACCACGTGTCCGCAGCCCCAAGCCCCGGATTCCGCAGCCCCATCCTGGCCGGGATCCGCGCGGCCCCCTACCCCCGGCCCCAGCAGCATACTTTTGGCCGTGTGCGCAGATACTCCAGCAGCTTCTCCGTGGCCTTAAGACGTGTCTCCTGCTCCGGCTTCGCAATGTCCCAGAAGAAATCCAAGAACTCGCGACTGTGCTGTAACAAGCCATGGCGGTCGCCAGGCCGAGCACCGCTCTTGGTCGCGTCTCCGGGAGACAGGGGCTCGGCGATACTCTCGCTCTCCATCTCCGCCATGCTCCACGAACACGTGGGCTCGGAAGACTGCCTCTTCCAGGTCAGGTCCTCGCGCGTGCGCACTGGAGTAGTTCGGCTGGGGTGCTCTGAGAGCCGGGGCGGGGCCGGGGGCAGGATCCGGGACGTGACAGACGCTGCTCCGCCTCTGCGTTGTCTCACTGGAGCAACGCTGGGCCTACGAGAGGGAACCCTGGTGGCCTAGTGCCTAGGGCACTTGATTCCTAACCAGAAAGCTGGCGGTTCAAGCCCACCAGCCATCCCTAGTAAGGGAGGTTGGGCAATCTGCTTCCGTAGTGGTATCGCCTGGGAAACCCAGGGAGAGGGCCCTCACTCAGAGGTTTGCCTTCGGTTTTTGGTGC